TGTTTTCTTTGTTGGAAGTTCGCAATCCATCTCAAAGTAACAACACTGAGAACATAGCGTTCTGGCGTTCGTGTAGGCACCTCACGGTGTTAAGGGACGGTGGTTTAGGTTTGTGTGGCGAACGACCGACGCTCACAACTTGGATCCCACCATTAACAAAAAGCAATATTATAGTTATATAACTTTTCAGATGTTTTTAATTCAGTATTTTTTTTAAATATTCTTCTAAAATTCAACCACTATATTTCCCTAAAAATCAAATAATACCGGTTTTATGTATTTCCGTATTAAACCTGTAGTCAATTCATGTTCCAGGGCCACTTGGTTTAGCCGTGCATTATCAGCCAATATACCATGGATTGCATATGCAAATTTTGTGTTTAGACCAATCAAATCAATGGATTAACACCATCAATATACTGGTATAATATAATATTAAATACACCATGGTTATTACTTCAAATTAGTCATCATATAACACTGTAAATAACTACTGGCTCTTTAAAGATACAAGTGCTCTGAATCGAAACGTGCAACATGGTAGTTGTTGATTACGTTTTTACAAGCTAAAACAATGCATGTATTATGTATTACTGTTCTAGTGAATGTCGTGTAATACTTGCTTAGGGTGGTGCGCATTTCAACAATGCTCATTGTTCAGTTAAAAAATATTTTACTTCCTGCCTGTAAACGGAACAAAATTTCAGACAAATTGGAAGACGAGATTATACCTTAGAGAATTATTTCATGTTGAGATAGTGTGGAGTTGATTTAGTTTTGTCTTTTTGTTTTGTTTTGTTTTGTTTTGTTTTGTTTTGTTTTGTTTTGTCCTGCCCTATTTATGTCGGAATTACCCAATAATAATACCAATAGTGTAGTTGTTTAACGGTGTCTGTAAAAGGGCATAGTTATGGAATAATTTAAATAAATATCTCAACTGTTATTTCTTCACAGGACAAAAAAGACGACATTGCACCTCACGAGTTCGAGGGTGACGAGAATGAAGAACGTGGTAACTGGTCAAAACAACTAGATTTCATATTATCGTGTATTGGCTTTGCAGTAGGGCTTGGTAACGTGTGGAGATTTCCGTATCTGTGCTATTCCAATGGAGGAGGTTGGTGAAAATATTCTGATTTACGTGACACGCATTATAATCTATAATATCAATATACTACATAGAATAGATACTACTTTGCCAGTGAAGTTGTAATAAGAATTTTCAGTACATTAAATGAGTCGTATTTTCATTTGATGTGCAGATAACAATAGCATACCAAGATTGCCTGTGTTGCGACAACGAAATTCATGTGTGTATTCTATTAACTATTATACTCGCTTACAGGTGCCTTCTTGATCCCTTATACAATAATGTTGTTTCTGGCTGGCATACCGCTGTTTTTCATGGAATTGGCGTTTGGTCAGTTTGCAAGTCAAGGTCCCTTCACAATTTGGACCATATGCCCGTTATTCAAAGGTGAGCATGCGCAGATGACCAGGCAATAGCACATTAATTACTGTAGAATGCTTTATTTTCGCTGAAAGAATGATTCAGTGAAAATAAATTACATACAAAACACCCAAACTATTCAGTCTATTCAGCGAAAATTAATTCCAGCTAAAATAAAGTATTTTACAGTAGTACATGGTCGGTTGTATCAGTGACCTATATTCGTTTACCTGTTATGTACATTCACTAGTCGTTAAATCACCATTAAACCACGACGCCATTGAACGAATGCACGAGAGTTGCAATTATTTGTATCGATCAAACTCATTTCTGACAATTCTCCCTATTCAATTGAGGATTACAGCTCTGTTTTATTTTATCCATAGGCGTTGGGTATGCCATGGTAACAATATCTTTTCTGGTCACCATCTACTATAACGTAATCATTGGCTACGCAATATACTACATATTTGCGTCATTTGCTGACGTACTGCCGTGGGTAGGATGTGACCATGAGTGGAACACCGATAGCTGTGGATACCCACCTCAACCAAACGGAACCGTCATAAATGGCACTTGGATAAGTCAAGAGATGGTGGAAGATATGAACATAACTGTGAATGTGTCACTGAGAATCTCACCAGCACAGGAATATTGGAAGTAAGGGGTCATATCGTTATTTTAAGATACCCAGAATGGGTTTTCTAGGATATAGGGATCAACTGTGTTTAGAACTAATTAACAGCATATCTTGCGGTGACCATTAATTCATTATTAATTACTGTTGTGTAAAGTTTGACGAATCCAAATCTATGGACAATAGTTTACAATCCTGTGTTCATTTCACCAAATCATATACTACGGGATTTTTATGTTTAACTGTATTAACTCACAATTCTAAGGCAGGTTTTTAACCTCACCATATGATGCCCATTCATTGATCTCAAACTGTCTTGTTTCATAGCAACGAAGTCCTTCGCATCAGTGATGGTATCGATGATATGGGGAAAATGCGGTGGCAGTTGACACTGTGCCTGGTGCTGGCGTGGGTAGTCGTATTCTTGTGTCTCATAAGAGGCATCAAGTCGTCGGGAAAAGTAAGTTTTATGTCCATTGAATCTTTGAGTAGATCTGAATCGTATATTCCTAGTGAAGTAAATAACATAGTGCCTGACCTCCCTTTCATTTGACTGTTTTCTACAGGTAGTTTACGTGACAGCGACTTTCCCGTATGTGGTGTTGTTAATTCTTTTGATTCGTGGCCTAACTCTCCCAGGTGCCTCCAAGGGTATTGACTTCTATATGACGCCCCAGTGGGAACTGTTGATGAAACCAAAGATATGGAAGGACGCCGCATCACAGATTTTCTACTCTCTAGGTCCAGCGTGGGGAGGTTTGCTGACAATGGCCAGTTACAATAAATTCCACAATAACTGTTACAGGTAAAACTACGACAAAAATGCAACAAAGTGACACTTAATGATTTATTGTGATGTTTGAGAATAACAATTAATCAATTAATGTTCATTTCAGGGATTCCATAATAGTGTCCTTAGTGAACTGTGGCACCAGTGTCTTTGCGGGATTTGTTGTATTTTCTATTATTGGATTTATTAGTCATGAAATTGGAGTACCTGTCGAAGACGTTGTTGACCAAGGTATGCACTTTACCATCGTATTCCGCATTTACAGGACATTTCAACTTAATACAAGGGTGGTGACACGCAACGCCCCGACACTCAAAACGCGGTGACTTCTATTGACATTCTATATAATTGTTCCTTTTTAATTTAATAATAAATAATAATAATAAGTATGCACTTATATAGCGCCATATATCCAAAATAAATGTTCATAGGTGCTTTACAAGACTAAAAATAAATAAAAATATTAAATCATGAATAAAACATTAATAGCAACAACAAAGAAAAACTACTGAGTTTCAAAAGTCTGTTTAAAAAGATGAGTTTTAAGTTTCTTCTTAAAAATGTCAATATTGTCAGATAGTTTGATATGTAGAGGTAGTTCATTCCATAAGGCAGGTGCAGCATGGCAGATGGCGCGTTGACCGTAAGATTTAGTATTAATTTTCGGAACGTTCAGGAGAAGATTATTAGTGGAGCGTAGACTGCGGATAGGTTTGTAAGATGCAAACAGTTCACAAATGTATGATAGTAGGGTGTTGTGAATTGCACGAAAGGCGATTAACATGATCTTGAAATTAATGCGTTGTTGAACAGGAAGCCAGTGTAAGTTGTAAAGAACAATTTCATAATTGTCAGATTATTAATTTTTCTTATTGAATTAAATTGTGTATTTATTCGTAGGACCCGGTTTGGTGTTTATTGTGTATCCAGAGGCTTTGGCTCGTATGCCGGGGTCACAAGTGTGGTCTATTTTATTCTTCCTTATGCTTTTCACTCTCGGTTTGGACTCGCAGGTGAGTTTTACTTCGATTAAAAGTAGTTCAAGTACACGAAGTGCTACACGCACTATGATTGGTATGTCATGTGTGCAGTAAATCCTCTACATGTCCACAACCCATAGTACAAAATGTCGCTATATCAACGTCAGTTTACATTGATTACTCTTGTAAACGTGTATATAAATGTACACAATTCCGGGCTTCACAAACTAACAAAACATAAATAAATATATTTAAAGTATAATGCTGTAATTCTGGAACATTACAATTTTTTGCATTTATTTAGTTTGCTATGGTGGAAACCGTTGTGAGTTCATTTATGGACGAGTACCCAAGACTACGTCAGAAGAAAGCCTGGGTCGTCGGTGGGGTTTGCACAGCATCATGTTTGCTTGGACTTCCAATGGTGACACAGGTACGTATCATAGTCCTTTCATACCGTCGAACTAGTTAGATTTGTCGATTCGTTCAAAATCAGATATAGTTGTAAGGCCTAGTGGTGTCATGTAATGAAGGTTCCACGATTGGACACATAATTACATAGTTATGCTTGAGTGTCCATGGTGTTATATAATGCAATTAAGTTGGAAGAAGTTCGATTGACGCGCGCGTGAAATTTGCGCGGAAATTGCATCTTCGTCGCATATCGCCCAACATGTATTGTTATATCGATATTATGCTTATCTCTTCATCTGCTCTTGACGCAACCAATATATTCTTAGTGATTTATCGGTCCATTTTGTACAATGAATATTATTAACTAGATAAAGTAGGTTGTGGGAAAACTTTCATGAAATTGTTTCAATTTAATTTGGGGCGATCATTTACCGTTGCTCGGCTGGGTCGTTATAAGAATAAATTCTTTGTATCTGTTGAGATTGTCGCTCTCATACCATCTAGTTGCATATATAATCAATCTGCCTATTGACAAAATACAAAGCACTTCAACATGTTCTAGTTATTTGAAATATCTTTATTCGGCCAAGGATCAGAGTGTTTCATTGCGACGCGCCAAATATATACTTTACTGCGCCGACGTTTATACTATTTTATTATTGACCTCTAAGTTTTGACATCACAATTATTTAGTGGTTCACTTGTACCATCAAGTTCAATTTCGAACCATATGAATGGTTCAAGTACATAATGTATTAATAAAATCAATTCGCAGAATTGACTTTGCATGTATACATCAGTGACAATTCAGCATGATACAACCATGGAAGGTACTACCGTAGTACCTTCCATGGTACAACACACGTTATATACACGTGCTGACAGTACACATAGAATTGTAAACTCAGCATTTCAAAGGCACTTGTTTTTCTATTTAGGGTGGCATATATTTACTGCAAGTAGTTGACGTGTACAGCGCAGGAATATCCCTCATGTTAGTGGCTGTTACAGAGTGTCTGGTTATTGCAGGCATTTATGGTAAGGATATATTTGAACTTGTATCTTGCGAACGAGGATGAGGCTGAATGTACCTTTTAA